TTAAAAAAATAATTAATTACTCTTCATGATTATGAGTGACTGCCTTTAGCTGGAGGCACAACTGGAGTGGAAAATCTAACCTGCCTTTAGTGACATGTCTGGCAGCTGGTGTTGCTGGCAGCTGGGGTATCTTAATTCTCTAGTAAGCTAGTCTGTCTTTACATGGCATTCTTGGGGTAGTTTTTTAAGATAGTGAATATAGAAGCTTAAAGGTATCCTAAGGCTTAAAAGCAGGAACTTGTGCAACATTATTTCTACCACATTCTATGGATCAAAGCAAGTCAAAACCAGCCAGCTTCAAGGGAGTAGTTCACCCAGCTCCACCTTTGGATGAAAACCATGACAAAATCATGTTGCAAACTTGCATGTACAATGAAATGGGAGGAAATTGTAGCCATTATACAGTCTCTTACCTTTGGGAGAACTCTAATATTGATCAAGGTTATTCATTCCCTAATCCATGAAAATGTCCACCATCAATCCTTAATGAAGTACTTTGTTTTCCCTAGTCTGAATAAGCAAAGTATAAGTGGGAAATTTATGTTAAAGAAAACACAAATGACCAATGAACATATACAAGTATGTCTAGCTTTCACTGACAGCAGGTTAATGCAAATAAAAATCCTACAGTTTTGCATATAGTTTGCATAATCAAAAATTCAAGGGCTGAGGTTGTGGCTCAGTGGTAGAGCGCTTTGCCTAACGTGTGAGGCCCTGGGTTTGATCCTCAGCACCACATAAAGATAAATAAATAAAGGTATTGTGTCCATTTACAACTAAAAAATATTTTTAAAATTCAAGATTAGATGTTAAAAAGTGTTGCCATATAAACAGGTCCAACCATATAAAACTGTCATATTCAAATGTTTCTGACATACAAGAACAGTAATTTCATATGGTTCAACACAAGAAAAAGATATTTCTTACATTGTTTATAGTGCCAATGTGATAGTGATGTTTTATAGCAGTCAACAACAAACTGGATTCATGTGTATCAACTTGTCCAGATCACAAAAACAATGTAAATTTAAAGGAATGTAGAAAACATGTATAATATGATACTATTTGTATGTATATAAATAACAAAAATTAATACTACATATTAAATATGGATACATATGTATGGCTGTGAAAGTATCAAACAATGAAGTGGAAGGATATACACTAATCCCTGATGAGAGATGCTTGCTGGGCAAAAGGAGTGGGACTTTGATGGTTAAAGGGGTCTTCAGCCTTATCTACTTATTATTATTTAAATATTTATTTTTTAGTTTTAGGTGGACACTATATTTTATTTATGTGGTGCTGAGAATCGAACCCAGGGCCTCAGGCATGCTAGGTGAGCACTCTACCACTGAGCCACAACCCCAGCCCCTATTTATTATTTTTTTTTATGTTTATTTTTTTGAATTGTAGATAGACACAATGCCTTTATTTGTTCACTTTTATGTGGTGCCAAGGATCAAACTCAGTGTCCCACACATGTTAGGCAAGCACTCTATCACTGTGCCATAAACCCAGCCCTACTTATTATTTTAAAAAGACTAATTTGACTAGATGTTAACATTTTAAGTTCTGGGTTTTGGGAATATGGTTATTTGTTTCACGTGAAGCTTTTTGTATCTTTCTAGTATTTTTTCTTTTTTTAAGTTTCACAAAAGTTCAACTTAACAGAAGAAAAAATAAAGCAAATCATTTGTAGCCAATGATCAGCTTGATAAGTTGTAAGTTTCAACAACCACAACAACAAAGAAACAAAAAACTTAAGTTGTTCTTTACTCTAATATTAAGGATCAGTTATGCCAGAGAGATCATTTTGTGGGAAATGAAGACTTATCAATACTAAGAAATCTAACATCATTAAGAATATAAGTAATTGTGGCAAAAATATCTAAGAGAAATTCTAAATTTGGGGTCTGTGAACTTCTGATGTTTGTATACTGGCTCATTTTCTGAGAAGATTCATATCTCAGAGTTTCTACAAGAATTCTAAAAAATTTAAAAGCAACTACTATATGTATTTAAAGGCTAAAAAAAGTTATATCATTAATATGATAAAAAGCTATATCATTAATATCAGAAACCTTTTAAAAATTAGTTATTTTGATTTTTAGTGACAATATTTAAAGCATATTTAAATTTTAAAATAGCTTTAAGAGAAGGTGAGACCTTTTATGTTTTTCAAGGAGGGCATGGATTGGGAAATTTGACAAACAGTAATACCAGACAGACATCAGGAGAAATAAGGAGATGAAATGGGTCTGTTATAGTGAGACACTCTATTTACACTTAAAGCAACCCAGAACTCTATTTACTTCAATAAGGTGGTGAGTGATGAGATGGACTTAGGGCTCAGAACTTGTGAAAAATATTTATTAGAGTGTACAGAACTTTGACTTCTTTTTGAGTTTTCCTGAATTTAGTGGCACAGTGGTAGCCTCTAGGATGTGACAGCAAAATATTCCAATGTCAACAACACTATAATAAGCCATCCGAGGAGCCATTCCCAGATGGCTCCCAGTGATTTGCAACTTCTGGTGTTCATGCCTTTGTACAGTCCTCTCCCACAGTAAGTCAGTGTTGATCTTTGAATAAGATTAGTTCCAAGCCTAGATTATAAAAACACTGTGGCTTTTGCCTAGTTCTCTCTTCATTTACTTTAAGGGAAGCCATAGTACAGTTAAGACAAGCTATGGAGAAGCCCAAGTGGTGAGAAACTGATACCTCTTGCCAAAACCCAGTAAGAGAGGCCTCTGGCCCAAAGCCATGTGAGCGAGCCACTTTACAGTCAGATGTTCCAGCCTTAGTCAAGCCTTCGGTTGACTGAAGCCCCTGTGGACATTTTGTCTGCAACCTTATAGGAGATAGCTAGGACCGTCCAGCTAAGCTGCTTTGAACTTCTAAAACACAGAGACTGTAAGAGGATATTAAGTTTGGGGGTAATTTTTTTCATGCAGCAATAGCTAATTTACACTATACCAAATGAAAAAGTTCAGACACAAAAGACCACATACTGTACGTATACAAATCATCCATAATCAAAAACCACAAAGACCTACTAAGTTGCTGGTTATTAGGTATTGGAAGAAGAGAGGAATGGGGAGCAAATGCTCATAGAAACAAAGTTTCTTTTCTGGGTGAAAACATTCTGGATAGTGGTAATCTTGTGAATGTACTAAAAACCACTGTATGCTTTAAAGGATGAGTCTTGTGGCATTAACTATGCATTTTATCTGAACTGTACACACACACACATACACACACACACACACACACCAAGAATCTGGAAAAAAGCAGTGGATGGAAACTGGAAGGACTTTAAAGATAGTGTTAGTGAAAACATGAAGAGCCTTGAAGAAACTGTGATAGCTTTTGAGGATGCTATAGATGTGGACTTAAGGAAAGTGATGAAAATCTTATTACAGATTAGAGGAAAGGGAATTCTGGTTGTGTAGCAGCAGAAAGTGTAGCAACACTATTGCTTACAGTAACAGAGAATAGAATAGTGCCTCATGAACCGGGTGACCTAAAGGGGATTTCCAGACTCAGTGCTGAATGTGCCTCCTGAGTTCTTGCTGCTTATACCAACGTACAAGAGATGAGATAAAGAAAATAAACAAATAAAAATGAATAAATAATTAGTTTTTTAAGGTCTCCTATCTTCAGATGACAGATGATGCTAAAATTAAGAAATGGCCTCAAGGCAAAGATAAAATCTAGGACACTTCCAGGAAAACATGATCTCAAGTTAATTCCAAATTAGAGGCTTATTTTGAAGGGCACTTGGGTGTAGATTTTGTCTACTGGCATAAACTGCAGTAAAATTAGCAGGATACTCTCACATTTAAAAATATTATATTGTCAGAAACACTGCTAATTAGATTAAAAGGGCAGATAAAGAGACCTTTGGCCCTCCTAACTTTAACATGCAGGAAACAGGCTGAGAAAAATCACTCAGCTGGAAACACATGCTACCTTACATGAATAAAGAATAACATCTGAACCAAGAGCCCAGAAAACAGTCAAAAGCCAAGCCTTAAGTAATAATCAAGGAGCTGCCAAGTTAGTTGCCAGAGGATTTTGGGATTGCCATGGACACCCTCTCAAAACTTTTTGAATAGGAGGGACTACAACAGTAACTCTCCATCTGTTGTATAGTGTACCTGTGGGGAGCAAATAACTTGTATTAGTTCACAGGTCTTAATATGAAAAGGAACTATATACTTGAATTACTATACTTAAGGAACTATCCAGAACTATTGCCAAGGAGACTTATTCACACTTAGACCTGATTTAGATGATAAGATGTTGGGCTTTGTGCTGCTGCTACAATGGGATGAAACTTCTGGAGGACTTGGGAGTTAAGTTTATTTTGCATGTGGGAAGGACATAAATCAATAGAGACAAGACATCGGACTGTGGCAGCCAGCATTCAAGCTGACTGCCAATGATCTCTACCTCATGAAATTTATACTTCATGTAGTCTCTTCAACATATATTGGGTCCCATGTGACCTAGGAAATTTGGCAAGTGTGATAGTATGACTTCTAAAATATATTGACTTTTGCCTGATGTGCTTACATTTTGCTCATGTGTGTTCTGTCATTTGCTAGGCGGAAGCCAACTGCCATGACATTAAGATTCTCCAACAGCCCTACAGAGAGGTCCTTGTGGTGACAAACCTAAGTGAGACCTTATCTCACTTATCAGCCATAGGAGTGACTCATGGAAGCATTTCCTCTAGTGTCAGAGAACCCTTGAGAAAACTACAATACCTTGTCTGCAACATTGTTGGAGACTGCAAAAGATCCACCCAACAATATTACTTCTCAATTCCTGAGCCTCAGAAACTGTGAGATGATAAATGTTTGCTCTTTTAAGCTGTAATAGATAACTAATATACAATTTCTCATAATCTTGTTTCAGCTGTCATATTAAAAGGTCAATACACAGAAGCTCCTGCTGAATGAGATTTCCTCATTACACATTCAAAAAGTACATCTTTTTATCAGAATATTTTATTTCAACAGTCAACACTTTTTTCAAAAAGTAGAAACTATAGTTACTTCCCTGAGTATAAAGAACAAATTCTATAATAAAAGACAGTTACAAAATTAAGCAATTACAAGTACATAATTTTCTGCATTCCATTGAAGTCTATTACAAATTTATTCATAAAATTCTCATATTTTGGAATTTTAATGATTAAAAAAAAGAACAGGTTATTTTGCACCTGTGATGTTATGGTATCACTCTGATCTGTCTTTATCAAATTCCAGGGCAATCTTTAAAGCAGTGCTATTGAGGCCAACAGACTGCATGTTACATATGATAGAAACAATTATTCCCCTTGGGGGGACTTTGTTATTTATAACTTCTGTATCCAGTTCTTCAGGAAGGACTAGCAGGACACTACTGGCACCCACTGCACCTCCAGTATGTGAAGCATAATGCCGTTGCTTCCTACAAGAACCATGTGTTTGTTTTTTTTCTACAACACCCCATGCCATTGCATATTTACCCTCTTTATCCCAAGACATTTCTGTGTTAGGGACTGGTGTCCAAATCATAACCATTGTTTCTGGTTTGAGATATCCAGGTAAAAGATTTTCATTTGAGTTCTTAAACAGCCCGACTTGGTAACCATACAGCATTGCATTCCCAAATTTCAGAAGGTCACCCACTGTAGACAGAAATCCACCACCAGCCCACTTATAGGAATTATCCACGTAAGGTGTGTTGATAAGACGTCTCTTTTTATTGTAAACATAAAATCTAAAATGAAATAAGAAGGGTCATTAAAAATTTAATAATCTATTATTGACTTTACACAGGATAATGAATAAGAAAATTCATTGAGACAGATTGTATTTCAATGTAGTGATTGTATATTAAGCTACAAACTAACCACTAATTTTTAGTGTGATTCAGATACTAATGACACACAGATAACTGGGTATGGTAATCTAATTACCTTGTAAATTAAAGCACAGAAAGTGGGTTTTTTTTTAATTGGTTTGGTTTGCCCATGCTAAGTATGTTAGGCTTTTAATTCTTGCAAAAATATACTGATTAATATTGCAGAATACATTTTCCCTAAGCACATGGAGCAATACTTACCGTTTGGTAGATATTCCTAGTTCTTGGGCTTAATGTTGAATGATGTGACACAAGTGAATTTCATTAGTAAAAGTATGAACATTGGGATGTGTGGAATTAAGGTTGCTATTTGAATGAACAGATTTCCTGAATAAAAATACCCAGAAATATCATGTATAACAATGTGACATGGTAATTTCTTGGTGTAGTGGGAAAGACTAGAGTTAGCAAACATTGGTCTGAATCTCAACTCTCACCCTTACTAGCCATGTTTATTTTATTTGATTAACAGATATTCATATAGTTCTTACTATATGCTAGTCATTGTTCTAACAAGTATATAAATATGAACTAATTTATTCTTACAACAGTGTTAGAAGGTACATTCTGTTATAAATTACTATTTCACTGATGACAAAGTCACATAGCTTGTAAACGGCAAAGTTGGATTCAAACCCAGGCAATCTGCCATTCCTATTCTATGCTACCTTTCTGCTTCAGCGTCCTTTGAAAAAGGGGGTTTAAAAAACCTGCTTTGTAGAGTTTGGAATATGTGTCTAAGGTACTTTGCATATTTCTGGAAGGGGCTTAATAAAGAAATGGTAGTTGTTATTTATTCATGCATTTAACAATTATTGACAGAAGCACTTATTTACTATGTGCCAGGTAATATTTTGATGCTGGAATAAAGAATTAAGAGACAAAACATCTGACCTTATTAGGTTTATATTACAGTGTGAGGAAACTGTACCATAAATATTAGGCAAGTAAAATGAAATCACAAAATAACTGAACAAAAAATTAAACTTTACACATGAGGATCCTTTCTTAGATTTTGAGTTTGCTGACTGCCTCACTTCTAATGGTATGCAACTTCATTTTAGCTCTACTATTCATGAGCACATTCAGCTTGAATCTCACTATCACTTTGAACTGTTTTACTTCTAACATCTCGAATTCAGAAATATCTTCTTCTATGACTTCCAATCCAGCTCTTCAAGTGAACCTCCATCTATTTCCCTTGCTTCTTCCCTATTTTCTCATGTGTTTTAGTCCCTACTGATTTTACCTGCCTTTTCTGTTCTAGCCTGCACTATACCATCAGCCATTTTAATTATTTTAGCTATGGTATCACTTGCACCTTTGGGTTCCTCATTCTTCTAACCTTGCATCGCACCAATCTACCAATCCTAAAAAAACTAAATATGCCCTTCTTTGTTACCCATCTGCCAAGAGAGGCTATATAAAAATCCATAAAACAATAATGGACATAATTTTATACTTTTGCTAAGGGACTTCACTGCTGTTATTAAATCCTTTTTCATTATTTTTCATCCTTTTCATTATTTTCCTGGTTATTCCCTAGGTATATACTTCATATAACCTATTCCCATTCTTCCACTCACAATCCTCTACCCTAACTTTGGTCCCAGATCACCATATAGTTTTTTTTACTGATAAGACTGGAACCATCCAAAGTAATCCAGAAGTTCTTACCGTCATCTCTAACTATTTATATCACTATCCATTCTTTCTACTTTCCAGTCACTTAAGACATTTTCCTATTGTTTTTAAAAGTAATTCTTTACCTGAATCTTTGATTGCCTTGTTTTGCCTCTAAAATCTTGTCCTATTAGTTATATTTCTTAGGTTATTTTCTCTACTTGAAGTCCATTGTCCAGTCAGAAGCTAGAGATTATACTCCCCTCACCTTTCTCTCATTCATTTGAAACCCTGCAGTAGTTACAATGCATTAGGAATAAAATCCAAACTTCTTACCATAGCACATAACCCACTCAGTGATCCTCAACAGTAGTACCAAGTTCCTAAGAGAATTTTTTGGAGACATTATTTTAGCTGTTACAATTACTAGAGAGCTCTTAATGGCAGTTAGTGGATAGAGCTGCAAGATCCTAAATGTCCTCTGATGTATGGAGAAGACCCACACAAAAAATGATGTGTTCGGGCTGGGGTTGTGGCTCAAGTGGTAGCACGCTCACCTAGCATGCATGAGGCACTGGGTTCGATTCTCAGCACCACATAAAAATAAAATAAAGATATTTTGTCCACCTTAAATAAATAAATAAATAAATACGATGTGTTCTTGCATATCCTGCAAGACCTTCAACTATCCCATCGGAGATTCTGTAAGTAAAGAATATATTTATAACTAGCTGAGCCTAGAAACTTCTTCTTGTTATATTTAAACACAAAGTACTTTTTGCACTTTTATTCTACCATTAATTTTTCTTTAATGTAACTACTGTGAAAATCAAAGACTGTTTTACTCAAAACTTTACCCAGAGTTGGTCACCAAGGACACAAATTGAAACACCAATAATTTCATCTTTATCAGTCTGCATTGCAGTTCACATTCACAACACTTTTATGTATTAAATTTCATGTAACTTTATTATGTTCTATAATGTTGCTATGAGTAAACTTTAACATACTGAAAATATTTATTATTTATTATAAATCACACTCATTCTATTTATTCTTTATAGTGTGGAACAAGCACTTGTGTGAATTATATTAGCTATGACTTTCATTGCAGGATATTGAAGTAGTATTGTGAAATATTTGTTAAATTAAGGGGCAGTGGGTCTATAGCATTGAAACTCATTGCCTAACATGATTTAACATCTGCTTACCTCTTTGATCTCATCACCGATAACACCTTGCCTTGTTCTTTTATGCCAGATTTATTTCTGTATTTGCAAAAAAAAAAAAAAAAAAGGCAAGCTAGCTCTCCTCAGCATTCTTGTCTCAACAGGCATGGCCTAAAACTAATGTATTTTAAATAGATCCCCTATATACTCTGCCTATTAAGTTTATATTCCATCGCCCCATTTATTTTTGGTACTGGAGATTGAAACCAGGGGTGTATACCACTAAGATATATCCCCAGCCCTTTTTATTTTTTGATATGAGTACTTTCTAAGTTGTGGAAGCTGATGTTGAACTTGTAATCCTCCTACCTCAACCTCACCGAGTTGCTGGGATTATAGCATGCAATACCGTACCCAGCCCATGTTATTTTTTTATATCAATATCTGAAATTCTTACTTCTTAACACATTTGTCTATCTCTTCCCATGTTAGGTAAGTTTCATAAGGGTAGAAACTTATCTACCATGTTCATTGGTGATTCTCCTACCTTGAACAGTACCTGTCATATAGTCAGTGCTCATTATGCATTTTGATAAAATCAAAACATTGTCATTGGCCAGATACTTAATGACACCTGGCAATGCACAGGAGAGATAAGTAAAAGCATACAGAGTGGCTGAGCTCTAGGGGCTAACAGGCTTGCTGGACAATTTTTAAATTTCAAAGCCCTATGAGTCATCTTGGAAATTTTGTTACAATGCAGATTCTGCTTCAGCAGGTTTACAAATTGTGCATTTCTAACTCCCAGATGAAGTCCATTCTGCTGGTTTGCAGGTTTATAAATTGTGCATTCTAATGCCCAGATGAAGTCCATTCTGCTGGTTTTCTGAGTAATAGGTTGTGAAATGACTCAAAGATGAATCTGGGGAATCCTAAGCACTAATAAGCATGAGCATCACCAAGAGCATGGTGGTTCAGTTTGGCTGAGGCAGGAAACTTTTGAGGATAAGTGAAAAGAGGTAATGCTGGAGGAGCAGACATGGGACAAAGGACAGATCAAAAAGGCCTTTCTGTGCCACGCCAAGAACTTTTGACTCTTTCACTTTTGATCATAAAATGCCTAAGTTTCCTCCAAGGAAGAAAAATATCTTCCCATAGCTTCCAGCTGCCAGTTTTCTCTCTCTTCCTTTACTGCTGAATAACATGAAATAGTCCATACCTGTTCTTTCCATATATGCATCCTCTCTATTCATTCTTCAACCCCTTAAAACTATAACTGATAAACAGCTGTCTAACGGATTATCACGCATCTTCTCATTCCTTTTTTCAGTCCTCATTTAACTTATCCCCTGTAGCACCACTGACCCATACTTCCTAGCATTCCTCCCAGTTCATTCTGCCCTCTGGGTGCTCTGTACCCTAAGATTCTCTGCCCTTTCAGTAACCAGTTTGTCCAATTATACAAGGTCTTCTTTTCTGCAGAGAAAACTACAAATCTGCATCTGTACCACAACCTCTGCTCCAAATTGACAGCTGGATAGTCTACTAATATTAATAATTCCCCAATTTGGTTTGGGAGAAGGGTAGGAATGATGTTTATCTGTGCCACCTATGGGGCTTCTCCTTCCCAAAATTATACACTTCCTTCAAAATTTATAACTTTGGAAGGGTTGTAGGCATATAAAGTTTGAAAAATGACTCCTTCTTCTTTCAAGATTCTTCTATGTTCCCTAAAAGTTCACATTATAAACTGGGTGAAGTAGGACTGGCAGTTAGGAAAGGGATGGCCACGGGTATGTGTCTATTACAAAAAAAAAAAAAAAAAGTCCACAAAGAATCTCAATATGCTCTTTGAGAACCACTGATTGGATAGGTGGACTTCTCAAAATTCACACGTCTAAAATGAAAATCTCTTGCAAACCTTTTTGTCATATTTCTTCTTTTCAAATAAGATGTTAAATCCTTTTACCTTTCTCCCTTTTTTTCAATTCCTATGGTCATTCACATGTTTTAGGCTCTTATTACTTTCAGCCTAAACTCTGATTACACTTATAATGCCAGTCTAGAGTAAAATTAAATATTTTCTCACTGAGATATATATTTCTTAGAGTGAACTCAAAGCCTATAAACCAGAAATACCAATATTTTGGCTAAAAATCAATTTTCTGTAATTTATTTTTAAAAGTAAAACGTTTCAAACCACTTATATTAAGGTTGAAATGAGGACTCCTCAGTCATTCCTTCTTAAAATATAAAAATACAGAGAATTCTAGACTATATACTAGATATAGACTTCAATCTCTTGGTTCCTTTGACAGAAAATAAATTAGTAATTTTTCATGAAAATAATTTTGTTCAGATGAATGACAAACATTACTATTTCAAATTCCTAGGGAATTTTGGCTTTACTCAAAATTCTTGGGTAAGTTTCAGGGACATCTTTATAAATAAATAATTGATGGAGTGATGTCAAATGACAAAAAGCCTCTTCCTACTTATTTAGGAATTTCCAGATTTTGCATAAGTACATTATATAACCACAGAAATCTACATCTACAAACTTAGAAATTTAAAATGGTTTTTAAATTTCTTATTAACAATAAAAAAGTAAGAGTTTAAAATGTGTATTATAAGGGCTGGGGCTGTGGCTCAGCGGTAGAGCGCTCGCCTCTCACGTGTTCGATCCTCAGCACCCTGGGTTCGATCCTGGGTTCGATCCTCAGCACCACATAAAAAAAATAAAATAAAATAAAAATACTGTGCCCACGTATAACTAAAAAAAAAATTTTTTTAAAAAGTGTATTATAAGGGTCTAGGAATAATTTAGTGGGAGAGTACTTGTCTAGCATACACAAGGCCCTGGGTTCATCCCCTAGTACCACAAAAAAACTAAAAACCTCACAACATAAATGCACATTACAAAAACCAATTCCATTTTAACATTTAACATTAATAATTAAATTGAACCTACTAGTGAAGAATCTGTCAGCAAAAGGAACAAAAGGAGCCTGAGAAGGAATAATGCTTAATTCTGGAAGACACCAGAAAATAAATAGAAAATAAGGATAACTTAATAGAAGATAAATCTTCTATTTATCTTTTAAAATAAACTTTTAAAATGCAGCAAACACTTCAGAAAACACTCATTTATTTGATTTATTTGGTTTTAGTCCATCAAATTATAAAACCAGAGATTTATTTATTTTTATTTATTTTTTTTTGCAGTATTGGGGATCAAACCCAGGCTCTTGTGCATACCAGACAAGGACTATCATTAAGCTATATCTCTAGCACAAAATTAGAGATTTTTGTTGCAAGCATTGTGCCAAACACAGAAAATATTCTACAAGGTTAATAAGCTAAGGTATTGACTAAGAAGTTCCCTATCAATTAACTGAGTATCTTTCAGTGGCAAGAACATTTACTCTACTCCCTTAGGGATGTTTGCTTATCATCTATTTAATTTGCCTATACAGAATATATTTGCTATACAAATCAATATAGGTATAGATTCTGTATAGTGCCTATATAGAATCTACGGTCCAACTCTTCCATTTAAAGAAGCCTTAATTTTATACAGGCCAATAATGTACCCAGATAAAAGTAAATTCCCTCACCTACCTTACAGGTAAGTGTGGCCTGTGGCTACAGTTAAAATTCTGGCCCTAGACACTTAAATAATGTAAGATTCTGGGAAAATACTTTAAACAGGTAATGGACATCAGGTGGCACTATTTTAAACATACACATATACATAAAGAGAATTGATAAAGAAGATATTTACTTTGGAGAAACAATTAACTCTATGCCTAAGAAGTCAGTAGACCAAAAAAACAAAAAAACAAAACAAAACAAAAAAACTGCAAACATTTCATTTTGTACAAAATGGTACAATAAAACAAGTGAATAGAAACATATTGCAGTTACTATATTTTACTTTAAGGGTTCCCCCTCCTTGGGTATTTTTTCAGATATGTACCAAAAAACTCCTCCTAAAAGATATTATCTTTTAAACTCCTTAAAAATAACTATTACAAAAAAAGAATCAGAGAGTTTTAGAGACCAAAATTGATACCGTATCTAATAAGATAAAAACATAGCAAATAGATAGAACATTTTTTTAGGAAACATTTCTTTCTTTTTTTAGTGACCTATTTTATTTCACAAGCACATTTAACTAAAATGAATCAACTACCACTTTAGAACTACTAGGTCCCATCAAAAATCCAAAAAACAAACAAATCAGCCTCAGAGCTGACAGGAATCTTCCTCACCAGAAATGGAAAGCCACTGCCTTTTTTCAAGGATTAAGAGCTAAAATGACATTAATTCACCATCATAGGCCATATTTTGATTTTTGCAAGTTACTCATCAGGAAATAGCAAATGACAGCTGTTCTGCAGTCTGTAGATTCATACAGGCCTTAATTTCAATTTAGAATGAGGCTTAATTAGGACACACAATGTCCTGCCATAAAGACCTAGACACTCATTTTCAAATCTTTAGGTGTAAATCAACATAACTTCATGCAGCTACACCATCTTTAATAGAGAATCTTTTTTAGATTCAACTGACAACCTCTGGTATTTGTCCCTTTTTCTTTTGTTTTCCAGAAGAATATAATGCTAGACCTAAAAATAGTAATCAGGTGGCACTATTTTAAACACAGACGCAGAGTCTGAAGTGGTCAAGAACCACCAAACTTAAAAAAAAAAAAAAAAAAAAAATTTAAATTCACTGCTTGTTACTAACCTGGGTTTCCCTTCTGGGTTTCTCAAATCTCCTTCAGATCATAGACTGATTTGAAATGCACATTTAATCCATATTTAAACTGTTCATTTAAAACGATAATTTTGCTAAATACAACAGAAGATTGAACAAAACAAATGTGGAGATTGACTCCAAAAAATGCTGCCATTTTTTCTGCTTCTTTAGAAAGTACCATTAAGCCACTTGGAAACCATATACTAATGGAATATGCTAAGTAAAATTAATAGTTGATTTATTAAATGTGCAATCTTTGTAACAGATAACAGAAAACATCACAACAGTAAAACGCATATTAGTAATCAGTCTCAAAATTTTCTGCCAATGCCTCTTTTAGAAGTTACTAGTAATGATTAAGATAAAATTTTAGTTTGATATATTTTACTGAAGGACTTTCAAACTTTTTTTTTTTTAACCTTAACCCACAGTAAGGAGTACATGTCTCATTCTGACTAAATGAACACACATGCACATGAATGTGTCACCTATCTGAAACAGAAGTTTTATAGAATAATACAGTGGCACAGATGGCTGGTTATTTACAACATTGATTCTTCTTTCCATCCTTAGTAATAGAATTACAGCTGTCACTAAGTTTGACCATTAGGTTAACTTTCTGCCAACAGAAGGTGAACAGAGATGAAGGGTGGCACATGCCAAGTCTGGATGTTCAGGCATTAAGTACACTGCTTCTTCACTCTTTTGCTTTTTCTAGGGATCTGGGGTCTAGCTTGTATTATACAGATGGGGACACCACCATCTGTATGAAAGCTGTAAGATGGAAGTGCATGGTTTTTTTTTTTTTGGAACTGGGGATTGAATCCAGGGATGTACTGAACCACATCCCAGCCCTTTTAAAATATTTTATTTAGAGACAGGGTCTCACTAAGTTGCTTAGCACTTCACTAAGTTGCTGAGACTGGCTTTGAACATGTGATCTTTCTGACTCAGCCTCCAGAGCTGCTGGGATTACAGGCGTGTGTCACTGCACCCAGCCTAGCATCTGGGTTCTTAAAAGGTTGTGTAGAGCAGCTCTATTTGCCAATCTGAACTCTCACCTCAGGAATGATGCATGAGAGTGTTAAACTTTTATTTTCTTCAAGCCATTGTATTTTAGTGACTTTTTCCTATAGCAGCAGTCTTCGCCCTAAAAGTTTATATCTACCCTTGATACATGCAACACATTTTATAATTATTTTCTATTCTACTTTGTTTTATGAAAGACAGATATACTGATACCAACCCACTAAACTGATTTTCCAACTCATACTGGCCATAAGGTCTAGTTTGCAAACTATCATACAGTTTGAAAAAGGAGTGAAAAGAAAAAAAAAAAATCAGTAAAGAACATAGTGCTTAGCACATTGGCTAATTCTAACTATAAATAACCATGAGATAATCCAACCAGTCATTTTATAAACTTTTGATTTACATTTTCCTAACATTTGATATAATTGTCCTTTCATTCATTCTAATTTTTTAGAAAGTTACCAAGTTTTGTATTTCAAATATTTTTCCTCTAATAATAAAACTTCAAATAACTTTAAAAGGTAAAAATAAATCTTTATTGAATTTGCTAACACTATGTTCAATTTAACTTTTTAAATTTTCTGAGGTGCTTCAAATTTTTCCTCTAATATAAACTTTTTTATAATTAAATAATTTAAAAATTCAAATATTTTTTATGAATGGTTTTGAAGTGTGCCAGTTCTCAACAGAATACTAAAATTTTTTAGCACTTTCATAAGTTGTGTTTAGTTACTTTATATAACATAAATTAGTTAAAACCCTAAATTATAGAAAACTTCATAAAACAAAGCATAAGCTAAATTTTAAAATATTAAAGGCTAAACAGCTCTGACCAAACCCTTTTCTGTCATAATGGTAAATGGTCAAATATGAAATTACCCCAAATCGTAACATTTTTCCTTCTTAAGGATTCCAGTTAATACATCAAAGTCAGTGTTATGAAGTTTCTCCATAAATTACATTAAAACCTGCTAAGCAATTTGCCTAGGATTTTAAATTTCAAATTTACATAAGTAATTCCAACTTGATATTTTATATTTAAAAGATGTAAAATAAAACTTGGAGGAACTATGGCTTAAACATTTTAGATCTTAATCCTTATAATTAAAAGGTGCCTAAGGATGTCTAATTATTAAAAAAAGGACTTTAAACCTAAATATATTTAAAATGTTCCATTATTTTAGTTAGGTAGCACTTACTATTTTTATAGTACACTAAAAGTGTAATTACTCTCACTAATGGCAGGTAGCAAGGATCTACATAATCCAAATCAGAAGAGCATTTTAACATGGTCATTTATTAATACATACAAACTCAAACATAAAACTCCTGATTAAAAATATATACATATGAACAACCTAATAATTATTTACCCTTACAAATAGTTTTGTTACTATTTTATATACTTAATATTTCAAAAGCTAGATATTAAATAATATCAGTGACAGATTACAACTCATTGACTATTAATCCACGAGAGCACATTGGTATGAATAAATAAGTTCATAAATGAATAAATAAATAAGAAGGGAAGTACTTTCCCACAAGGTAATGCTAACTAACAAATATTGAGATGATAATGGAATTAGAAAGTCACCACTGGCAACCATTATTGTCATAACTGATCCAGACATTAATCATGAATGGGTGTTAAAATAAGTAGAAAGTTTGATGAGAACTAGGAATTTTACATAGTATCTCCTCAAAATATACTTGTTAACTGAACAAAGGAAAACCCAGCAACTTCACAAGGGAGAAATGTGACAGGCACTACCTCAACAAAGTCATTAAAACACAATCACCAATAATGGGATAAACCAACATCATGTGACTTCTGAAAGACATGACAACTAGATGCAATGTGGGATTCTGTATTGATCCCTGACCAGAAATAAAAACTTTTCTTTTTCACTATAAAGAACACTAGTAGAACAATTGGCAAAAAGTCTAAATCAATTTCTTGAATTCCCTTGTTCTCAAGAAATACACATTTAAATATTTATAGGTAACGACATGCCATGTCTGCAACTTATTCCAAGTGGTCCAAAAAAAAAAAAAAAAAAAAAAAAAAAAAAAACACAGATAGATAATGCAAATGTGGTAAAATGATAACATATGGGGAAACTGGGTGAAGGGTATGTATATGTGAATTCTTTGTACTATTCTTTCAATTTTTCTGTATGTACAAAATTATCTCAAAATAAATGTTAAAACAAAACATAATAAAAGGAAAACAAACAAATCATTAGATAAACATAAGAAAAGGGGTGATTAAAAGAGCAAATTACAAATGCACATGATGGGTGAAATTTTGGTTTAATTATTCATGCGCTTACATTATTATTGCTATATTTTATCTAAGTGTCTTGGGGCACTTTACAAACATGTTTTATTTTCTTCACTGTATAAATGGAAAATAGACATGCAGAAAAGCTCCCAAAATGTGGCAAATTGATTTTGGAATGGAAACAAGGAAAATTTGACTTTTAATTGGTAACACAATGTTAAAATGCAATATATAGCTAGACACACCAGAAGGTATTTGTTTACCTTGCTCTATTGTAAATCACTGGCTCATTTTCTTCCTGCACAGTTGTCAGCATATCCAAGTCATGGAATATTTTCTGCATATAGTCCAAATATTTATATCCTGAAGCTCTTTCTACTATGGCTGCCAGTAGGGTATAGCCAAAAGTTGAGTACAAAAACTGACTACCTTGAGACATCATTGCAAGAGGGGAAAAAACAGAAAATACTTAATTATTATTAAAAAATATGTAAAATATTTTCCCACTGAAAATAGGCATACCTTTAAAATTGTAATATTTTACTTTAGCATATCAACAAATTCAGTTAATTTTGTATAGCCCCGCTTATTGCATCTCACTATAATGCAAGAATAAAATGATGATCGGTATATGTATCTAAAATTTCAATGAATCTGTTCCTTTATCTGATAATGAAATAAACAAATGCAAAACAAAAAAATCATTCAAACTGACAACCAAATAGGAAGGGAAAAAAAAGCAAATTTGATTTCTTGAGTCAACTATTCTTGTTCTCAATTCATCTGGTATCGTAAACAATAGATAAATAGATGTGTAAGTTCTCATTTTAATAAAATATATGTAGGCATAAAAACTATTTCAAATACATATTTAAATATATATTATATATGTAGAATTTTAAAAACATTATACACGTACATATATATAATTTCAAATATGTAATTTTATACTACTTTGTATTCTGGAAACTTAAAATTTTATTATCCATATAAAAATGGGTAGAAACCTTATTTTTTTTTCCCAGTACTGGGGATTGAATTGGGGAGCACTTTGTCACAGAGCTACATGCCCAGCCCCCGACCCCACACCTTTTTTTATAATGATTTTGTTTTAGTTGCAGTTGGATACAATACCTTTATTTTATTTTTCTGTGGCGCTGAGGATAGAACCCAGCACCCTGAACATGCTAGGCTAGTGCTCTACTGCTGAGCCACAACCCCAGACCCCCCCCCCCCCCCCCCCCCCGCCCTTGTTTTTAAACTTTGAGACTGTGTCTTGCTAAGTTGCTGAGGTTGGTCTTGAACTTGTGGTCACCCTGCCTCACACTCCTGAGATGTTGAGAATATAGGCACACCGGACCAAGCAATTTAATTTTTTTTTTTAATAGTTGTCAATGGACCTTTATTTTATTTATTTACATGTAGTGCGGGGAATCAAACCCAGTGCTTCACACATGCTAGGCAAGCGCTCTACCACTGAACCACAACCCAAGCCCCCAGCAATTTAATTTTAACATTAAATTCTAACTAAATTTAAATATTCCTATTAGTCACACATTATCCTTTTTACTTTGGTCCAGGTTATATTTGGGGAATAATAATTCCAATATTCTCCATGAACATCTTGATACTGAGACTCCTCTAAGTGGTTGCAGATCCTTCCATGAGGCTAAATCTAGATAATCACCTGCCTGGATGCCAGCCTTTGTTAGGAAGTACAAACAAAAAGGGAGGCACTGTCTTTCCAATTCTACTATCATGTGTAGCTAAAAAGAACAAATTTTAAAAACCCAGAAAAACAGGGGCACTGGACTGGTTCATACAACCACCTTCAGCCCACTGAATGTACTCAGGATGAAAGACATTTTGGATTTCCTGAAAATCTAACACTTTAATAATAATGACTTTGTTAAGAGAAGGAATGAACACTCACCAGGTTTAAAGAACAAAGGATCATTTTTAAATAATTTTAGGGATTCAATTGAATTTTCAAACTTTTCTTTCAAATATAATTCACCTTGTTCAAAATCATTTTTTTTCTTGCCATGTTTCCGACATTTGGATTCATTATCCTGTTCTGATTTAGCTTTAGAAAAGTCATTCTTTTCATTACTTTTGCTTCCTTTTTCTTTCAATTCTTTTTCTTGGTCAGATGCCATTGTTCCTTTCATCATCTTCAAGGCTTTATAAGCCTTTTCTTCTTTCACCTTTTTCATGTCCTTTTCATAATGACGAATTCCACTTAAGTGGGATATTAGCAATCTTGTTGTGACAGAAACCTAATAGTAAAAACATGAAAATTCAATTACAATATTAAACTGTACAATAACAAGTTAACAGTCTGGGAATGAATGCCTCAGTAATATTTTCCACTTTGAACTCCTGCTGGAAAAAGGTCACATATAGATCCTGACCCTCAAGTATCAGAAAAATACAAATTAAAAAAAAAAAACACACACACACACAACTTAATCCAGTAACGGTAACTAAAATCAAAGCAAAGAGTCCTACAAAACATTTCAAATATAAATTCCAGCATAAACCATTTAACAGGCCAATTAATACACTGAACTGTGAATTTCACTACCTTTTCACCTTCATATTCTTTTTCTGGGAATTCAGGAACATAATGTTGTACTGGAACATCAAGATCCAGTTTCCCTGCTTCCCACAATTTGGCAAGAGCAACCATGGTGAGGCTTTTGCTGATGCTGGCAATTCTCATAACTGTCTCTGGTTTACATGGCACCCGGTTCTCAACATCGGCATAGCCTAAACCTTTGGATAAAGAAAAGCAAAAAGTTTCTATTAATTAGCTTCATGGCCAAACAAGTCTTCAAAAACTGAACTATCTTAAAACACCTTGGGTGCTCTTTTAAACAAAAAGATAATCCACTTTTATTAGTTACTTAAAACTGGACATGTAAGAATGAGTTTTAGCAATGCTGACAAAAATAAGCCTAACACTTTTAACATTATAACTAAACTGAAAGTGTACCCTGTATATAATAATTTTTCATCTGACTCAGATACTAATTTTTCTTAGCTTATGTTAACAATTTGATTATTACACATTTCAAATAAATTACATTCTTTAAAGAAAACATTTTCATAGCTGGGCATGGTCTCATGCTTGTAATCCTAGCAACTCCAGAGGCGGAGGTAGTAGGATCCCAAGTTTGAGGCCAGCCTTGGCAACTTAGCAGGACCCTGTCTCAAAAAATAAAAAGCACTAAGAATGTAGCTCAGTGGTAAACACCTCCTGTGTTCAATCCCCAGTACCAAAGAAATAACGAAAAACGAAAAATCAGTATTCTTCAGATTATAATCATTCTTGATTTTTTAGTTTCTGCTGATGTCCTTAAAATAGTCATTCAATCAAAATGAATGTGAAAAGATGTCCTGAAAAGCAAATCCAACTATCAATTTGATTCAGCTGCAAACCATAAGAAAAACTCTGTACGAGTAATTTAAATCTCCTTCTACAAAAAAATTTGTTTGGGTTTCATCTTTTGCACGTGGTGAATACATGGAATTCAAAGAGATATAAAGAACTGAATTCTGAAAAGAAGTACAACGACTGTTTTTAAACTGTATTCTGAAAATATTTGCATAAAAACAAAACTCTCACCAATACGGTTAGCATTTATAATATTTTCATAAATTAGGTATACTGATACAAAGTATACTTATACTTGGGGAAAAATAATTTTTCAAAACCCTACTGCTCCCACCAACTTCTCCTAAAACTACTACTCTCTCTCTTATCTGAAACTTCAATTAAAAATAGGATTTCTAAAAACCTAGGGTGACTTACTGGACCAATTTATGTGCATTGGAGAAGTTACCTTATAATGTTTTGATGAAAGTATCACAAAATAAATAGAAATGCTTCTCTCAAAGCTTCCAGCTTTTTATTTGAAAAAGTAATTATTATTCTGTGCAGCAAAAAGAATAATAAAGTAAGACTGTAAACTCATTAGGGACAATGAATAGTGTTATCTCTAGTATTCAGAACAATGCCTTTTACAGAATAGAAAACTCATTAAATTGTTGACTGGATTTATAAAGAAAAATACAGAAATTCTGGTGTTTTATCTACCCATTAGGGCTATCTACAAATATGCAATAGCGGATATTTAATGGATTGTTCTATATACCCTTTCAAGCCAATAAATTCAGTCCTAAGAGAAGAGTGGGGTTAGAAACAAGCCATTTTTTAAGACTCCAATTTTTTTAGTAGTCACAGTTTAATTATCACTTTTGGTGTGGGGATTACCCAGAGCCTAAGCATGTGCTCTCCTGCTGAGCTACACCCCCAGCCCTGTTAGTCACATTTTAAGTCTTGCTGTGATTAAAAAATAACAACCTGGGGACTGGGGTTGTGGCTCAGTGGTAGAGCGCTCACCTCTCATGTGTGGAGCATTGGGTTTGATCCTTAGCACCACATAAAAATAAATAAATATAGAGGGGGTAGAGAGAGAAGAGGGGAGGGGAGGGGAGGGGAGGGGGGATAGTAGAGGATAGGAAAGGCAGCAGAATACAACAGACACTAGTATGGCAACATGTAAATCAATGGATGTGTAACTGATGTGATTCTGCAATCTGTATACCGGGTAAAAATGGGAGTTCATAACCCACTTGAATCAAAGTGTGAAATATGATATATAAAGAACTATGTAATGTTTTGAACAACCAACAATAAAAAATTAAAAATAAATAAATAAATAAATAAAATAAAGATATTGTGTCCACCTACAACCAAAAAAAAAATTAAATAAAAATAACCTGATTCTTCATTCTGTATACGTTATTTCGACAATATGTATCATTTAATTTAAACTGAATAGCAAACAATTTATGGGATTAACTCCAACCACTCTACTGTCAATATTTTATTCACCAATTGGTACAAAACAAGTCGCTAAATAACAGTTTTCTGAGCCCACCTTCTGACCAGACTTCTTTTCCATCTACAGAAACTCCGACCACTATTCCTGGTGCACCCACCTCGTCCTAGAAGCAAAGCGGGGGGGGGGGGGGACCGACAGTTAAAAGACAGCGGGGTAACCCTGCACACCCCAAAACTCCAGCAGGCCCCGCCCACCCAGCGGGTCCCGCCCACCCGGGCTCTGGCCTTGCCCCGCAAGTAACCGCGAGGGGAGCGCCAAGTCCGCACCCTGGTGGGGGAAGGGGCGGTCCCCCAAGCGGGCGGTGACCTCAGCCCGGAGTTGGGCAACCCCCAAGGGCTTCTGACTGCGATCTAGCGGTCGGGAAACGGGAAGTCTTTCTCGGAAGCCGACAACCGGCACCCCACCGCCCAAGGTGGGGTCAGTTCAGCCCGGAGATACAACCACCAAGGGGCCCCATTTCGGGGTGAACTGGAGCTAGGGCGCAAGGACCCCAGCCGCCGGCGCCCCCCTCCCCAGTCGCCGCACCTTGATTCTGTGCAGCAGGTCCCGGCTGCTCTCAATGGCTCTGGCGAAGCACCGGGAGTGGGGAGACGCCGGGGTCTGCAGAGACCGCGGGGCGAGGGACTGCTCCAGCAGCGGCACGGCCTGAGGCCACGCCTCGGGGTCGGGGGCCGCCGGGGGTTGAGCGGGGGCGGCGCCTCTTAGCCCTCCCGCCAGCTTCACCCCGAGCGCCAGCCCCAGCCCCAGCCCCAGGCCCCCGACCCAGCCGTTGCCGAGCGGAGGCAGCCCAGCCCGCTGGTGGGCCCCACGACGCCCGCAGCCCCAGGCCCGGCCCCCGGGGGTCGCAGCCTGCAGCGTCACGGCTGACAGGAGCCGGTACATGGCTTCTCTGGAAAGCCGGACGCTTCAGAGCTCTCGCAGGTTGGGCCGGGTTGGGGGGTGGTTCGGGAAGGGAGGGGCGACAAGGGGAGGGAAAGGCAGGGGCGGGCCTGTGCAGACCTTAGCAGTCGACGCCCGACGGCCGGAGTGCCGATCGCATCGAGCCCTCCTTCCTTTCCATCTCTTTATGAGTATTTTCCCAACTTTCTCCCCTCCCTCCCTCCCTCCCTCCCTCCCCCCCACCCCCTCTCCTCCCCCGCCTCTCTTTCTCTCCCCTTCTCTCTTTCTCTGCCTCTGTCCTTCTCTCGCCTCACTTCCTTCCTTCTTTCTCTTGCTTTCTTTCCCATTTTCCTGAAGAGGAAAATGTTACCTCTTCAGAGAAATTCCTAGTTCCCATCCAATGCGAGTTCTCGCCCACATTTTCTTATCCCCTCGCCCCAGTGTGCACACCTTCTTAATAATGCTTAACACTTGGCATAACTGAACTTGCTTGTGATACCTGGAATTGAATGCATCATTGAAGTGGCTTTACCACACTGTGACTTATTTTTGCATCCTTAGCTTCTGGAACAGCACCTAGCACACAGCAAACCTGCAGACACACAGCAAGACTTTCTCTCTCTCTCTCTCTCTCTCTCTCTCTCTCTATTATACTGAGGGTTGGACACAGGGGCTCTCTACCATTGAGCTATTTGACTCCCCCCCCCCGTGGGGGGGCGGTTAAAATTTTTTGTGACAGGGTCTCTCTACATTGCTCAAGCTGGCCTCCTCCTGCCTAAGCCTCCGGAGTTGAGGGAATTACAGGCATACACCACCTGGCCAGGTTTCTTCTTTTCTCTTGCATTCTCCCTTTATGTCTCATTTCATCTCCTCCCATTGGCCTAAGTTTCTCTTAAAATCTCGTACTTTTGGAGAACTAGTGCCACACCACATCAAACATATGAGGTATATTAGTGGTTGGCTTGGGTTAAGAAGTAGAAGGGCAGGACCAGAGTGGGGATTGCTTTAAAAAAGCCACCTGAGGGATCCTTGTGATTATAGAAATGTTGTCCATTTTGACTGTATCATTATCAATATCCTACTTGTGATACTGGGCAGTTTTACAAGATGTTACCATGGGTGAAACTAGGTAAAGTCTCCACAGGATCTCTTTGTCTTATGTCTTAGAATTACATGTGAATCTAAAATAATCTCAAAACAAAACGTTTAATTTGAAAACAAGATAATATACTATGAACCAGGATGACTATTCTGAAATTCAAATATGAATCTATACTGCTTAAAATCCTGTTTATTAATAAGAGAAAGCCCAAACTCCTGGGGTTAAGACATGTGGTAGAAATGATAATCTATTGAGGAAAAAAAATGTTTCCAGAATTGAGTTTGCCACAAAGGAATGAACTTGATTTTCTCTTTTGCCAAGAATAGCCAGGCCTCTGAGTCCTGAAGATCTGGGCTTTCATTATCCCTAAGAGATCTCAATCCCCTGAAGTATAACTGCTACCTGCTTGGCTTGGCCAAATCGCTCCCCAACTGGGTAAAGGAGAACTTTAGTGATAGCTTCATCTGTTTTAATCCCTTTTTAGTCACATCCAGCTATCAAAACAGGGTAAATTTCAAGTGAATATTTAGTTGTAACTGTTTCCTCTGTCAAGTCCAGGGGAATACTCTCTTTCCAAAAGCTAAGCAGGGTGCCTCTTGAAGGTGTAGAGAGGTCCTGGAAGAAATTGAGTGGGAGGAGTGCAGTGGGAGGGTTTGCCATCCTTCCTTCACCTCACTTTCCCTTCTTTCTACCTGCCCTCCCCCCCAATGCCTGTATTCACTCTCAGGAGACAGATGTGAAGAAAGGGAGTACATGGAAACTGATGGTTGCTGCAGATTCCAAGAGTGTGGCTTTGGGTCTGGATCACAAAGCTGCAAAGCCTGGTGTGGCTGCCCTCAGGGGGCATTGCTTCCTGTGTGCATCCAGCAGGAACCACCAAAGACCTTGGCTTTGCAAAAGTTAGTGAAGTCCTCTCTAGGCTCAGCTGGACACTGAGGGGTTAAACCTCCAGAGAAGATCCCCACCTTCAAATAGTTCACAGGCCTAGGCACCCTCACAGAGCATGTGAGGCTCTTTAGTTTAATACTAGATGGAGCCCCTTCCCTTAGAAAATGTTGATAGGTGCTTTTGGTAACTTTGATGTGGGGGAGTGGTTCTAGTTGTGTTTGATTTGATTTATATAAATAAAAAGATAAGGCAGTTGGTAGATAGTATCCCAGGAATTGACATTTCCAGTCTGCCTTCTCTTGGCAGCATGTGTGTAGTAAGCTCTTCCAATCAGAGATACATATCTTTGAAATTTACCCTGTTTTGATAGCTGGATGTGACTAAAAAGGGATTAAAACAGATGAAGCTATCACTAAAGTTCTCCTTTACCCTGTTGGGGAGGGATTTGGCCAAGCAAAGCAGGTAGCAGTTACTAAAAAACCCAAAACCTCTATGCTTCTATTTCAGGGGGTTGAGACCTCTTGGGGATAATGAAAGCCCAGATCTTCAGGATTCAGAGGCCTGGCTACTCTTTGGCAAAAGAGGAAGTCAAGTTCATTCCTTTGTGGCAAACTCAATTCTGGAAACAAACATTTTTTTCTCATAGATTATCATTTCTACCACATGTCAAACCCAAGAGTCTGGGCTTTCTCTTATTTATCAAGAATGGTGACTTAGAGCTGCAGCTCCTCAGGTAGCAATGTTTTCACAGCATGACCCATGACCACCACACTGACAAGGCTGCCTTACCATGCCCCATGCTGTTCCCTATAGCATTCTCAGGGAACAAAGATTGAAAGATTCCATCCATGTAATGTCTCCTATACACCTATCAGAATAATTTTAAATACCCCCTTTCTCTCTCAAACCAGGGCATAAAATATGTAGCCATCCCACCCAATAGGTTTTTTTAGTATTTAATTTTTAGTTATAGTTGAACACAACACCTTTATTTTATTTATTTTTATATGGTGCTGAGGATCGAACCCAGGGCCTTGCATATGCTAGGTGAGCGCTCGGCCTTTGAGCCACAACCCCAGCCCCCACCCAATATGTTTTAATAAATTAATTTTTTTCTTGAATTGGTCTTTGAATTTGCAGCTAAGGGTATGGTGATACAAAAGGATCCTCAGAATCAGATCTTCCTTTCCTACCTTGCTCATCTTCCACCTCTCACCTGTGATTTTATCTTAGTTCTCTGAAAACAGGAGATTCTTAAGTGCTTTCAGCCCTTTGCATAGGCTTTTCTTTGTTTTTAAAATTTTCTTTTCTCCAGTGTCCATTTCCTTCCACCATCATGCCCTACATTTCCCTGTTGCAGAACTTAGCTCTATGTCACAAATTTTATTTAGCTTTTGGGTTGTTCTTTGAGATCTTTCTGTGATTTGTGAGTTTCTTCAGTCAAGTTTTAGTTTCATCTGGGTTTAGCTAACTGCCTGACACATGGTAAGCTTCAACAAGTGATACTGAAAACTCTATAGGAATGAGTGTAAAATTGTACTTTTCATAGAAAAATGGTTACATTGATATGATTACTGATTTACAGAGTGGTTTGAGTAGTCTTCTACTAAAGTTTAATTCTCTGAAGAATTTTGTTTGTAGGTCTTGACTTTTAGCTTGAGAGAATCCTATTGGAGTCCTGGAAAATGGAATTCAAGCCAGGAGGGGAACTTAAGTAGCACTAGGCCATACACGATGGGAGGAGATTTCACTGTATTAGACTATTACTATGTGCTGGCTGACTTAGATACATTATATATATTTAGTAGTAGGTATTAGCTCCTGAGGCTGAGAATGGCCAAGTTGCATATAGTTAAATGGCAGAATCAGGATTTGAATTGGGGTCTGCTTTAGGGGTTGACCATTTGCTTGCTTGGCTTCCCTGGGAATCTGTACAAAGGGATTTAGGCAAGGGATTGTGTATTCCATGTTGATTTCCAGAGGAGGAAAGACCACAATCTCCTTTGTCCTCCACTATTTACACTTCTGCACACTGTCTTTTCAGCCTGTGTCTTTGACAGTGTTTTTAAATGGAGACAAAATAGTTGATGATATCACATAGGATTTCAAAGCTGGGAGATAACCTTAGGCATTATCTAGCATGGTGGGTTTTGTGAGATGGGGCATTTGGAAATACATTGGGCTACTTTTTGCTCAACATAATGGAGACTGGGGGTCCTGACATTGAGTAGAAGTGGACCCAGAATTATTTTGACAGTCCTGAAATCTGTGGGTCAGTTGCACTGCAAAGATTCTCTCCTTGACCAAACTCTAGCTAGACTCCTCTGAGCCCTCTTCTTGACTAGGCCTCAGCCTTGGCCTATAAAGACTTTAACAAACACTGATATTTCTAACAACTCAAGGCCACCTCCCTAGGAAAACCCTATCTTCCTTTAAAGTGCCTGACTGAGAAAACTGAAGGCTGCCCAAAAAATTTACCATTTGTTCCAACCAACACCTGAAGATAGTGTCTGTCTCAGTCTCTGTGGGACAGTAGGAGCTGAATTCCAATAAGTGCCAGTTAGTAAACCAGATGTGTTTCATGAGGACCAACCCCTTTAACCACTTTTTGTAATTTTTCACTTCCCTGTCTCCACTCAAGTCCTCACTTCACTCTTTCTTCTTTCTGTAAAACTTACCCAGTCACTTCTGCTCAAACCCAGTGGAGCCCACCTCTTTCCCTATTGTAGGTAGTTACTGAATAAAACCAGCACTCTAACTAAGCTCCAGCTGTGTTTAAATTAAAATTTCCTGTCCAAAACATGGCCCTTGAGAAAGAGAGCCTTGTTTTCAAAACAAGTTCTCATGGGTGTGTTTACTTTGAGATAATTCATTGAGCTGTATGTACACTTATGACTTCTGTTCTTTTCAGTCTGTATATTATAGTTTAATGTAAAAGTTCATATATAATAAAATAAAAATCTGAGGAAATGATAAGGAGAAATAATTTAAGAAATACTGAAATGTTGTTAAGTAGAAAAACAAGACATTCTGATTTGCATTAGCAAAACATACATATGAA